GGTTATTGTGGTAGTTATAAATGTTATGGGTACTACTGTGATGTTTACTGTGTCAACTTGATAAAGAGGGACCTCTATTGCCTGAAACTCCAGTAAACACTTTGAACTAGAATCTAATGTGCTAGCTTGAGCAATAAAAACTCTTTCTAACCCTCTAACCTTTCCAAACTCCATCCAAAACCAAGAAATGTTGCTTTTCAATAAACACTAGCCTAAATGTTTATGTGAATAATGGCTTGCCTGGAATAGTAATGTTTAGGACCCTGGTGCCCAACCCGTGGTCTGGGGGCCACATGTAGGCCTTTGGCCCTCATTTTACAGCTCTCAGGGCTTCTGCAGACATCAGTCTGCGATCTTACTTGGGTGCTTACTCAAACCGGTGAATGAAACAATATTCTTTATACTGGATTCCAGTATTTAAATGGTTTGGTTCATTTCTTCTGAGCTATCTTATTTTTTTCTGTGCTGTCTATCCATTTTCTCTTTTTTATGGTTTTAAAATGTATCTTACAGACTTGCACGTCTGTAGTGCTGTATGGCTTTCTGTAGCATAACATTTACTCAATCGATCAGCCATAAAATTATCACTACTGACAGGTAAGGTGAATAACATTGATCATCTTGTTACAATGGAATCTGAGTCGGTGAGATAAATTAGGCAGCAAGTAAGCATGTTGTCCCCGAGGCTGATATGTTGAAAGCAGAAAAATGGGCAAACATTAGGATTTGAGAGAACAAGGGCCATAATGTAGTGGCTAGATGACTGGGTCAGAGCAACTCCAAAACTGCAGCTCTTGTGGGATGTTCCCAGCCTACAATGGTCAGGACCTACCAAAAGTGGTCCAAGGAAGGAAAACCGGTGACAGGGTTATGACCAGCCAAGGCTCATCGATGTACATGGGGGGCAAAGGCTGATCTGTGCAGTCTGATCCAATAGAAGAGCTACGGCAGCTGAGATTGTTTAACCACTTGCCTACCGGGCACTTATACCCCCTTCCTGTGCAGGCCAATTTTCAGCTTTTAGCGCTGTCGAACTTTGAATGACAATTGCGTGGTCATGCAACACTGTACCCATATGAAATTTTTATCTTTTTTTCACACAAATAGAGCTTTCTTTTGGTGGTAATCGCCGCTGGGTGTTTTATTTTTTGCGCTATAAACAAAAAAAAAGAGCAAAAAATTTGTAGAGAAAACAAAGTTTTTCTTTGCTTCTATTCTAAAATTTTGCAAACCGGTAATTTTTCTCCTTCACTGATGGGCATTGTTGAGGCTGCATGGATAAGCGGCACTGATGAGGTGGCATGGATAGGCGGCACTGATATGCAACAATGATGGGCACTGGTAGGTGGCACTGCTGGGCACTGGTGTATGGCACTACTGGGCACAGGTGGGTGGCACTTCTGGGCACTTGTGGGCGGTACTGCTGGGCACTGATCATCAGTGTCCTGATGATCGGTGCCTATCCGTCCTCCTGACAATTGCCGGTTATTGGCAGTACGTTCCTCACGCTGTGACATTTGTGCATCTCTGGGCTGTGCTGGAAAAAACAAATCCGATCCATGAAGGCCCTCACTTCACAACTTACAGGACTTATAGGATCTGCTACTGACGGCTTGGTGCCAGATACCACAGCATACCTTCAGATGTCTAGTGCAGTCCATGCCTCAAAGGGTTATGGTGGGTGGTCATAATGTTATGGCTGATGATCGATGTATGTGCCGCCCTTTTGACCAGGGGCTGCATTTGAGGCCCCCTAAGTCAAGTAAGTTGACTACTACTGGTTTAGGAAATCAGGCCTGTCACATTCTCAACATAAGCGAAACATGCAAATTGATTCTCTGAAATATTAGTGCAGCCATTAAGGAAACCTGTGGACACTGTACATGGACAGCTTTCTAAAAATGGTTGTCATGTTGTTCCAATTGCATAATTACTTTACAAATCTCTACCCTGGAAAAAGTATGCAGATCAGAATTTTTGACATTACTTGGACTTTAGTTGCATTTTTAGGTCAGTGACTGAAAGTATTGAGGCCAAACACTGCCAAGCAGCTAGCATTTACAGTTGAGGTTAGCCTCAGTTAAAAAAAAACATAGGGGGATGCCTATTCAGTGGTTCTACATGGAAGCCTTTTTTGCTTTACTTTGCCTTTCTTTCACTTTAATGACAGCTGCTGTGGCATCTTAAACTCGCCTTTCCTGATTTTCCTTACCAGTCCATTCAGCCACCAGGAACAAAGTAAAATACCCAGTAATATGGAAAAGCATGTGGCTCCCTCTCTCCTATCCCACATGATATCACTGTTGCTTACCATTTGGCTAAGCGGGTACCCATAATGGCAATAAAAGACCCCAGCTCTGTGTCATGACTTGGAGCTTACACAAGGTTTCCTCTCTCTCCATTCATGGTGGGGTAGCAAAGTGAAGGTAATTATAAGTGACTGGTGGGACCACTATTACAGTAAACTTGCATGGGCAAAGTATAGTTCCACCTTTTATTTCTATAGCAATGCAGGAAATTGTCCACACTGTTACAATAAAAATGGACTTCTCAAATTGCAAAGAACCCAGAAAAGTTAGTCATGTTTGCATTCACCTGCAACCCGTGGTGGCAGCCATTCTGCAACCCTAAACTGGAACCTCAGGCTAAAACAATTTTATTTAGTTTTGGAAGAGTAGGGCTAATACCACTGTCAGGTGCTTATTTCTTCTTTTGAGGATGATCTCATTCATCACCTATAGTTGGTGATAAGGGACATGCAAGAAAATCTCTCAACAGTCAAAATGTAAAATTTGTTTTCTCTCTCACAATGTTCTCTGAAACCTTAGTATTGGCTTGAGCTGGGGTAGGGCTGCTATTAGAAACCATGGGGCCCCATACAGTCAACCTGACAGGGCCCCTCCAAATAAACACAGTTTACCATGCTTCAGTTATGATTTAACACTGAGTGATCAGTACCGATTACTCATTGTGTTCATTCAGGTAAGAAAGGGGATAATAAATGTGACCTATTTACAGGACCCTTCCTCCACTCTCCATCCTAAAGGATCCTATTGTGTGCTTGCAGCTGCAAAGAGAGGAGGGAATCTGGCAGCACTGTGGGGTAGGGGGGACAGACAGGGGGACCTGGGCAGCAGGGGGAAAAGTAGGTGCAGCAGAGGGGCAATTACTGAAACAGAATCACCTGTATGGCTCTCTCTCTGCTACAGCTGAAAGCCGATGGGAGGGAGAGAAGAAGCAGCCAGCTTCAGTTTCAGTAACTGACTCCCCCCATGCAGATCATCCTCCCTTCCCACATCCGCTTCATCCAGTTGCTTGGGCCCCGTATGGGGGGGACTGGTTGTACCCCCTTATCCACGGCCCTGAGCTTGGGTTCCACTTTAAGAATGAGCATACTGCCTTTAAAATCCCTGGAAATCGGAGATGCTGCCGAGAAGCTGCATTAGATCTTTCACACATTGACTTCTTTAAACTTTCTAAACAGTAGATAGCCAAACATAATTTGAGTTGGTTGAAGAAATCTGAAAACCCACCAAGAGGAGACAGTCCTACTCTGGAGACCCCAAAAAGAAAAGACAGTTCTACAAAGGTGGTCCCAAACAGAGGAGAGAGTCCTACAACTTACAAAGTCCTACAAAGACCCATTAATTTCTATATTAGGTCAAAACCATACAAATTAAAGTTCTAATGGAGATTACGGGCAGCACAGTGGCTAAATGGTTAGAACTTCTGCCTGGCAGCATTAGGATTGTTGGTTCGAATCTCAACCATGGCACCACCTGCTGGAGTTTGCATGTTCTCCCTGTGCCTGTGTGGGTTTCCTCCGGGTTCTCCGGTACCCTCCCACACTCCAAAGACATTCTGGTAGCTTAGTTGGATCCTGTCTAAATTGGCCCTAGTATGTGTATGTATGAATGTGAGTTAGGGACCTTAGATTGTATGCCCTTTTGAGGGTTAGGGACTGATGTGAATGCACAATATATATATATATATATATATATATATATATATATATATATATATGTAAAGCGCTGCGTAAATTGATGGTGCTATATAAATACCTGAAATAAATAAATGCCCCAATACCCAAGGCTTTGTTTGTCTAGTCCAAGCAACTTCAGGAATCTTCAAAGAAGTCTACAGGTCTGACAGCTTGTGGAAGAAGGCTGAGACAAGGGCTACCTTGTTAAAAAAAAATGTCCATATCAGAACTTGTTTTTTGAGAGGGCATTACAAAAAAAATATAATTTCCACTTCACACATACCTCCCCGTTGTACCAAAACGCAGTTGAACCATTGACATAAATTTTCCATTAAAGCTAAACAGCATTTAACCCCTAATGATAAAGTTCCCCTTTTTGCTCCCTTTCGATCAGTTAAATATATAATTGAAAGCTTTTTTTTGTATCTGATAAGTGCAAAAAAAACTTCTGAAATCGTCACACGTTCGGAGTAGCCCTGTGTGCAACCTTCCTAGTTCTTACTTTGGACTACAGAATAGTAAACCTTTATGTTGTAAAGATCTGGGAGTATGAGTGGCTGCGTAGTTTAGAAAAAGACATCTGGGAAGGCTGACAACACTCCCTTCTCAAAAATGCCATGTTGTCAGCTTACCACAGGATTCTGGAGCCAAATGCATTTCTGGCAGAACAGGCATTTTATGTATTTGAAGTGTCTTTAACCACTAACCTACAGGGCACTTATACCCCCTTTCTGCCCAGGCCAATTTCCAGCTTTCAGCGCTGTCACACTTTGAATGACAATTGCGCGGTCATGCAACATTGTACCCATATGAAATTTTTATCTTTTTTTTTTGAGACAGAGCTTTCTTTTGGTGGTATTTAATCACTTCTGGGATTTTTATTTTTTCTTAAACAAACCAAAAACCACTGAAAATTTTGAAAAAAAAAAAGTTTTTTCTTAGTTTTGTTATACAATTTTGTAAATAAGTGATTTTTCTCCTTCACTGATGTGCGCTAATGAGGCTGCAGTGATAGGCACTGATAGGTGGCACTGGTAGGTTGCACTGATGGGCATTGACAGGCATTACTGATGGGCACTGAAAGGCAGCACTGATATAATGGCACTGATCGGCAGCACTGACTGGCACTGTTAGGCGGCACTGACTGGCACTGATAGGCGACACTGGCAGCACTGATAGGCGACACTGACTGGCACTGATGGGTGATATTGAAAGGCAGCTCAGATGGGCACTGATATGTGGCATTGATGTGCACTGGTATGCACTGATATGTGGCATTGATGTGGCACTGATGGGCACTGGCACGTGGCACTGATACTGATGAGCACTGACAGGTGGCACTTCTGGGGCCACACTGATCATCAGGGCACACTGATCATCAGTGTACATGTCCCCTCCACGGAAAGCCGATTACCGGCTCTCCTCTCCTCTCGAGCTGTCAGCGTGACAGCTCGAGAGGAGAGAAATGCCAATAACCGGCATTTCCGTGTTTACATGTGATCAGCTGTGATTGGACACAGCTGATCACATGACCAAGCCGACATCTTCAGCTCTTTCCGTGATCCACTGTGTCCCTCGGACACAGCGGACCGACGATCGCCGCGCATGCGCAGTGAGAATGGTAGGACGTCATATGACGTCCTATCAGAACGAGAGAACCACCTTGCGTCCATCATTGTACTATAGGTCGGGCGGAAGGTGGTTAAAGGAAAAATGTGTAAAGTTTAGCTTGGTCAAACTTCCCCCTTCTGCTTGAACTTCCCTTTTGGACAGGACAAGCTTGGATTCACAATTTCAGGCAGACTTAAATAGGTTGGTTTACTAAAGACAAATGGAGTGTTCACTTTGAAATGGAATTTTCCCCAGAGACAAGTGAATGAGGTGAAACTTAGCTGACTTCAATCATTTAATCAAACGCAAGCAAAAATGCTGTTTTTTTTTTTAATTTCCCTTGCACGATTCATGCAAAGTGAAATTTCACCACATTCACTAACCTTTGGTCATAATTCCCATGCAACTTCTCTTGCAAAGTGAACTGTCTATTTGCCTTTAGTAAATCAAGACCAAACTCTCTCTTAACTATACTTTTTATTGTTTTTTTTTTTTATATAACTTCCCCAGTTGCCCTATCCTGTAAAAAGCTACACTGTTTATATACTAACTCCTCATAACTCCAAGTTCAGTCCAACTTTGGGTCCTAGAATGGAGCCACTGCTGTAAGGTCATGTGGCAGCCATCAAGCATGTGTGCTTAAACAGAGCCATTAATGGGTTGCCAGAATCCATAAAAAGTTTGCCATAAAAGGCTAGATTTTGCTTTGAACATTCGTAGAAAAAATGATTAGTGCCATCGATGTAGGTAGTTTTGTCCAAAAGCCCTCAAAATTTCATCTAGATCTGCTGTTTTAATGGAAACCCTGACGTACTACACCAGTTTCATTACAATATGTACAATTTTTCCAGAATATAAAACTCATTCAAATGTTCTATCCTGCGCCTTAAAATTTCTGGTATAAAAAAAAATTAATGATGATTTGACCCAACCAACCATGAGAATATCAAGTAAATTTTCGGACACCAACACTTTGGTGATGTATAGCCCGCTTAACTCTCCAACGAAACTCCAGAGCAGACTGACCAAGCCTGGAGTTTGGTAAATATTACATTATACCTAGAAAACGTATTGCGAGCCTTGTTCAGTTTCAGATCTAGCTGCCCGCCAAGACATTTGGGCAACAATGTCTGACCAAATAATCAACATGCATGCGAACAACATCCGAAGCCTGAAGAAATCAAATTTGATATCCTGGATAAGTACCTGCATTGATCACAGGCCCAAACTTTTTACCCCCACATGAAGAACCAGGACATCTGGGGGCCTATCCAATCTAGAAAAAACTATAGACTTCACGTACTACTGAACACTACCCAGATCCCTTGAAAGCCCTAGCTGAATTACTGATGGCACATGTAACTAGCTAATTTTCATCACCAATAAAGAATTACAGAGGTTGTAATAGTTCCCTATGCTACTAAATAAAATGCTTTTATTGAACTATAGCTTGAGTATACAGATATTCTGCTTTACTTCCTGTGTCAGTGACCACACAGCAAATGAGGGGGCAAATCTAACTAATGGGAGGACACAACCAATAATAAAATACTGGACAGTGGTTTCCAACCCTTTCCTACTCTGCACAAAATGTAAGGGCACTACCACAAAAATGCAGTTAAGGGGGTAAAGAGTGAAAGGCAGTCATACATTTTACGACTGTGACCATGGACTGTCCCAGTCCTTCGCCACTTTCCACTGCTTTTAGTATGTGTCAGCACTGTAGAAGCCTAGATGTGGTTTCAGATACATTCAAAGAAGGAAGATATAGCAGACTTAAGTCAAAACTTCTGTGTGACAAACCTCAGAATGGCAGGCTACCTAAAAGGAGGCATTTAAATGAGCAATACTGAAACTCGGACCCACCCTATCCTCCCATTCAAACCATCCCTATTGGAACCCCGGACCCACCTTATGTTCCTGTTCAAACCATCCCTATTGGAACCCTGGACCCACCTTATGTTCCTGTTCAAACCATCCCCATTGGAACCCCGGACCCACCTTATCTTCCCATTCAAACCATTCCCATTGGAACCCCGGACCCACCCTATGTTCCCGTTCAAACCATCCCCAATGAAATTCTGGACCCACCCCATCTTGCCGTTCAAACCATCCGCATTGGAATCCTGGACCCAACCCATCTTGCCGTTCAAACCATCCACATTGGAAACCTGGACCCACCCCATCTTGGTTCAAACCATTCGCATTGGAACCCTGGACCCCACCCCATCTTGCCATTCAAACCAGCCGCATTGGAACCCTGGACCCACCCCATCTTGCCATTCAAACCAGCCGCATTGGAACCCTGGACCCACCCCCTCCTGCCATTCAAACCAGCCGCATTGAAACCCTGGACCCACCCCACCTTTCCCATTTAAACCATCCCCATTGGAACCCTGGACCCACCCATCTTCCCCTTCAAACCATCCCCATTGGAACCCTAGACCCACCCCATCTTCCCCTTCAAACCATCCCCATTGGAACCATGGACCCATCCCATCTTCCCCTTCAAACCATCTCCATTGGAACCCTGGATCCACCCTATCTTCCTGTTCAAACCATGCTCATTGGAACCCTGGACCCACCCTATATTCCTGTTTAAAACCATCCCTATTGGAACCCTTGACCCACCCTATCTTCCCGCTCAAACCATCCTCACTGGAACCCCGGACCCACCCTATCTTCCCGTTCAAACCATCCCCATTTAAACCCCAGACTAGCCTTATCTACCCATTCCCATTTGAACCCCAGACTCATGCTATCTTCCCATTCAAACCTTCCCCATTTGAATCCCAGACACACTATATCCTCTCATTCAAGCCATCCCTTTTCATTTAAATGGAACCCTCCTTTAGTAGTACATTGTAGCAGCAGCTACTTCAAATCTGGGACTTTACATCCTTCTCAAAACATCAAACACAGTTTCTAATGAAAAGTATGATCAAGTGTATAAAGGAAAATATTTTTTTTATTTTCTATTTAAAACGTATTGCCAATTTAGGCTGAATTTTACACCACAAATTCACAAAACGACCGCACAGTTACAAAACATGCTCACAAAACCAATACACCACATCGCATACAATTCTCAAAAGCAACAAAACAAACAACTACATTTCATCAACAGTCTTAGAGCAATTGAGAAAAAGATCTATCTGGAAAATACACCATTCATAAATTCAATGGAATTTCCACTAGTTTGTGGATTTATTGTAATAGTCATGTAAAACCTGCAACAATTATGGTCAGTCCACCCAAAACTAATATTTCAGTTTTGGATACATGACAGCAATTTTTTTTAAATTTTGGGTAGTCGTCTGCACCCTTCTGCTGTGACAATAACAGATAGGTCACCCAGACCAATAAGGATTTATAGCTTGGAGAATAGAGCAGCCATAAGGTTTAAGAGTTGAAGACAAGAATTGGGAAACCAGTAATGAAGATACTGACGCCACAATTCCCGAAAGATAAAAGGACTTGTCATTATCTAACAAAACTGAAATATTAGCTTTGAATGGACTCATTTTATTTTTTTTTTCACTGACATTCTTCACACAGAGCAATGTAGCAAAACACTCCATATACATATGGTATTGCAATCTCTAAATTCCATAGTATCATTCCTGAGACACGAGGCACTTGGTGCCTCAGACAGGTCAACAATCCTAAGTCAACCAGCAGGCTGCACTAAGCAACGTCCACGTGGCTTATGATAATTGTAGCATATGACCATAAAAATGTTTCACATTTTAGTCCCATGCTATTAAAAGGACCAATAGAGCTAAAACAAAAAGTTATAGTATACTGTAAGAGAAAGTAACCGTACTTGTAAATGTGAATGTATAAACCCTAATACTTACAGAGAAAATTGATTTTTTTTAAATACCTTAGCTGCATAGCTCATCGTTTCATGTTGTCAGGAATTTTAAGCTATGTGATTCATAAAGATGACTTCATGGAATTGTTAGATGGGATAATGGAACAGCAAGTCCCCCCAGTGTACCCACTTCATTTTAATGATACAGGTCTGAGGAGTTCCCAAAACAAAAAATAAAAAAGAGCCCAAAATTTTTTTTTGTATTTTTCTTTTTTATAAAACAATTTTTTCAGAGGCTACAGGTCATATCATACACTCAAATATTGCTGTATTTTACAGACTTCATCCAGTTACAACATGGCGATCTCAAACACAGCTTCAATATAAGCCTATAACTTTAATTAACATAATTAAAAAGAAAGTTTCCGTATCTAGAACACAATTGATCACAGACAAAACTCCTTTCTGGAGCAGATTACAGCCACACCATCCTGTTCATCCCAAGGATTTAAAAAGAAAGGGGGGGTTGAAAAAAAAAAGTGGGGGTCGGGGACTCCTGTAACAATGAAAGAGAAGAGACAGTGAAATGGGACAGACTATTGAGAAGTCAGCCAATGCACCTGCTCCTAGCGCAGAGCTGGTCTAGTGGTGGCATGCAGGGTCATATTATGAGACAAGAGGGAGAAAGGGGGGTGGTGGGCAGGACAGAAGCTGAATTTGAGAACATATGGTAGCCACGAATATTTTAATCCCAGCCACAGAAAAGAACTGCATTTTAATTATTGCAAAAAACAAAATAATAAAAATATTAACCATAAAAAGATTCACAGTTAGAGAAGGAATGCAACACCTGAACTAAATATCCCTTTAACAACTGAGATTTTACAAAAAAAGGCACAAATTAAAAAAAAAAAAAACACCTTGGGATGAACATTGGAGTAATTACATCATAAATATTATGACATTATTTGTGGCAGATCCACTTAAAAATGTGCAACAAGCTGTATTTTTCCATTTTTTATACACGCTATCCCTTTTGCCCACAAACCCATTTAAAGTCATTTTTTGTTATTTTTGTAAAAAAAAAAATGTTTTTAGCTGTTCCCTCCTCCCCCAACCCACTCAAAAACTATTGCACAGAGAGGCAATGCTCCGTGCCAAGTAATACGCCAGCCTAACAATGTAGACCAATTAAATAAGAAGGAAAAAAATGCTGAAAATTCAGCACAACAAGACTTTTTTTAATAAAAGTTTACTCCTCGACTTGACTTTTCTTTTTTTTTAACAATATACAAGATGCTTAAAGGGACCTTGTTAGAGAGCATAGATTACGTGGTTTATGTGGCCCTTATGGCTGCAGGTTTTGGATAAGTTTAACGCAAAATGGTTCAGCTGCAATAGATTTCCTGCTCCAATTCACTGATAGTTTTACAAAGTTACTTCAAAAAATGTTTTTAAGAGTACAGTGGCAGGTTTGGTGTCTCACATGAACCAGAAATCCTATGATCATTAAAAGGCGATACTTTAAGGCTAACCTGCATGCAGGACATAGCAGTATACAGTGCAATTTAACACAGTAGGCAAGATTTTTTTTTTTAAACATCTGGCAAGATGCATATACCGATTTATAGGTTGACAAAAAAAAATCACCCTCATATACTTCTGCTGAATACAGAGTAAAAATTACCTAGTGTCTTTTTTGTTTTTTAATTTTAAAAAAATGGCAGACTCAAATATTACATTTAGGGGATAATTCTAAACAAAAAATATTTGGAAAGAACCTGGATGCAAATGTCATCTTTTTTCTATAACTTTGCAAAAAAATATTAAATTGCCTGGAAAAAATAGTGAGATTTGCAGCCAGTCATTATATAAGTAAAACATTATTTTGCTTTTAAACCTTAAATTAAATATCCTAATACAAAATACTTTTAAGGGCATTTTGGGCAACTTTGGACTATAATAAGATGCTCCTATAGCAGATACATACACACGTGTCCTGTCTTATCTGCCTAATAATTAAATCCTTTGTCCCATAGGATTTTTTTTTTTCACTTTACAGCAGCGTTTGTCTGATTTAAAGCAGACATATCAAACAAACATTCCTGTTGCTTCTCTATTATTTAAATCCACATAACGTGGTTTCAAAACATCCAAAACAGAACTCAGTAGTCAACAGGTCACAATTCTCTTTGCAGACAGCAGATGGTGCACTTGCTCCTTTTTTGTGCAAAACCGTGCGCAACCAAGTATGTGATTGATTGAGAGATATATATATATATATATATATATATATATATATATATACATACATACATACATACATATATATATATATATATATATATATATATATATACACACACACTAAAATTGAACACTTTATAGCATCTCATTCAAGTCTTCTTTTTTCCTAGAAAGGAAGCTTCATATGATAACAAAAAAAAACCTATATGCATGTTTGCCTTTTCTAGATTTCAGGTCAGGTAAAAAAAAAATATTTAGATAGGTTGTTACAGAAAAAAAAAATCGGTTTAATTAGACAGGCAATAAAGGAGCAGAAGCTTTCCATACAGAATGGTCATTCTGAACTCAATACTTTAAAAGGGACTTTTAATTTGTAACAATATTTTTTTCTGCTGAAATGTTAATATCTTGAGGGAATGGGAAGGGATACAACTGAAAATATTTATATAGGAGAATGATCTGGGATGAAAAACATTAAACACATTACCTACAAGTGCAGCGTACAGTATCTGGTGCTGTTTTTTCGAAATACTGTGCTTAAGGTCGAGGTAGATGTAAAAAAAAGATGAAAAAAAGGACATAAAAACAAAATAAGAAATTTTTTTTTTTAAAGTAATAAAATGTATCTTTGTGGGCCCCAAACTTCCTAAAACCTGGAGACCAAAGAGCAGCTTCATCATGTCAAACAGAAAATAAAAAATAGACATACACAAAGAGGCAGGAGTCACTTTCCATGAAAAAAAAAAAACATAATATTTTGTACCTAATATAAAGTAAATTAAAGTTCCTTATGGAAAAATATAACCTTTAAAAAAATTAAACAGCTGTAAAGGAAAACAAAAAAAAAAATTAGTAACCAGCAGTTGAAAAGGATCCGATGAAAACGTATATTTGGGGGATCACACCCTCCGAAATCAGGAGCCTTGTTTGGAAACCTTAAGCAGCGGAGCCTCTTTAATTAAGACAAAAAAATATAAAACATACACAACAAAAATTATTTAAACCCCCATAAAACAGGAAGTGATGGAATGTCACTGCTTGTCCTGCGGGCAGTTACCGACTGCTGGACGAATACTTGGCCTTGGTGATGAGATAAAGGACAATGTCTTGGTGGCCACCATAGGCCGCTATGTGCAGAGCACTCCAACCGTCCCTGTTGGCCAGTCTGATGTCAGCTCCAAACTTCACCAGGAGCTTGACCAACTCCAGGTTGCCATCAATTACAGACTGGTGCAATGCTGTCTGGCCCTCTGGCCCAAAGGAGTTGACATTAAACTCACAGTTGGTCATGTTCTGGAGAAGGGACTGAAGCTCCTTGGTGTTACCCTTCCTTACAGCCTCCTGGAACACCCGTTGGGTGTGAGGGATGGAGCAGGTGGACACTTCTGTCTGGCTCATGGCTGAGAGGGATCCAGGTGGGTAGAGGGTAAGGTCTCCTGGTGGCAAAGAAAGCTGGAAGCCGATCCGGATCCTGGTGGATGAGACCTACAGGCTGGTCCTTTTGGTAGGGATCTCTTTTGAAGCAGATCCTGTTGGTCGAGATCTCTTCAGAAGGAAGCACTGTTGGTTGGGAACTTTTCAGAAGCAGGTCCTGTTGGTTGGGATCTGTTTAGGAGCAGATCCTGTAGGTAGGGATCTCCTTAGGAAGAGGTCCTATGGTGTTGGGGATCTTTTTGAAGCAGATCCTGTAGGTAAGATCTCTTTAGAAGCAGGTTCTATTGGTAGGGATCTTTTTCAAAGCAGGTCCTGTTGGAATAGATCTTTGCGAGAAATGATCCCGTTGGTATGTATCTCTTGAAAAGTTGTTCCTGTTGGTTGGCAGAGACTTGTTACAGAAGCTGGATCTCTCCTGGAGTGTAGGCTCTGTGCAGGTGAGCCCAGGGTGTGTGTGTGTGGGTAGGTGGGTGGTGTGAGCCCAGGGTGTATGTGTGGGTGGGTGTGTGAGTGGCCAGCTCTGTAGCAGTTGCAGACCAGTCTTGGTGGGTGCTGAATCTCCTACACCCCCCTGTACTTTGTAGCTCCCTCCACTACTTCTGCACAGCTGGATCCAGGAGGCCAGGAAAGGGGGAGCACTGCCAGTAATCCCAGAAGTTTGGGGAAGGATGCAATGAGCACAGCTACACCAGTAAAGGCACTTCCCAAGTCAGTGATCCAAGGCTCGCACGGTGCTCAGCAGCTCTGCACAGTGATTGTAGAGAGCCCAAGCCTTGCTCGGATCCCAGGCTGGCTGTGCACGGACTAGTGACCCGAGGCTCGCTCAGGCTCCAGTAGATCGGCTCGCTCGGTGTCCTCCAGGCGACGCATGGGGCGCTCTACCGGTACTGTGCTGGAAACTTGCAGGTCAGACTCAGCTCAGCTCCAGCCAGCGCGGCCCCTTTTAGGTAGAGCGCTGATTTGCATCACAATGTCCCGCCATCCCGGCTTCCCATTGGACGACAGCCCACACGGGGCCAGCCCCCCGGCCCTCCCAGCGGAGTGGAACGTTGAGAATCTGGGCGTGGCCTGGAAGTTTGAGTTTAGGGAGAGTGACAAAAGTTCTCACGCACTGTCTGAAAGAATGAGGAGGGGGCGGGGGAGGCTGCCTGGGACCCCGCCCCCTCTGTATGGCCATGTCTTCTAAACCTGACACCCTCTGTCACCACAGCTTCCTATCGACTATACAGGGACCTCGTGTGTCTCCACAGCTCCCTACTTAACATACCGGGAACCCATTTGTCTCTACAGCTCCCTACTTAACATACCGGGACTCCATTTGTTTCCACAGCTCCCTACTTAAGATACCAGGACCCAATGTGACTCCACAGCTCCCTACTTAACATACCGGGACTCCATTTGTTTCCACAGCTCCCTACTTAACATACTGGGACCCCCCATGTGTCACCACAACTCTCCACTGACCATGCCAAGACCCCACTTGTCACCACAGCTCCCCACTGACCATACCGGGACCCCATGTGTCATCACAGCTCCCACTGACTATACTGGGACCCCATGTGTCACCACAGCTCCCCACTGACTATATTTGGACTCCATTCAGATCCCCACTGACAATATTATAACCCCATTTGTCACCACAGCTCCCCATTGACCATACCGGGACTCTATGTGTCAGCACAGCTCCCCACTGATCATACTGGGAGCCCATGTATCACCACAGCTCCCCACTGACAATACCAGTACCCCATGTGTTATTGCAGCTCTCCTCTGAACATATCAGGACCCCATGTATCACTTCATCTCCTCACTGACCATACCAAGACCCCATTTGTCCCCACTGACCGGGCCGAGACCCCACTTGTCACCACAGCTCCCCACTGACCATACTGGAACTCCATGTGTCACCACAGCTCCCCAATGATGATACTGGTACTCCATGTGCCACCACAGCTCCCCACTGATCATTTTGGGAACCCATGTGTCACCACAGCTCCCCACAGACTATACCGGGGCCCCACATTTCACCACAGCTCCCCACTGACCATACCGGGACCCCACGTGTCATCACAACCCCCCACTGACTATACAGGGACCACACGCATCACCACAATTCCCCACTGACCATACTGAGACACCATATGTCATCACAGCTCCCCACTGATCATACCGGGACCCCATGTGTCACCACAGCTCCTCACTGACCTTACAGGGACCCCATGTGTCACCACAGCTCCCCACTGACCATACTGGGATTCCATGTGTCACCACAGTTCCCCACTGATTATACTGAAACCCCATGTGTCATCACAGCTCTCCACTGACCATACCGGGACCCCATGCATCACCACAGCTCCCCAACTACCATACTGGGACTTCATGTGTCACCACAGCTCCCACTGAGCATACTGGGACCCCATATGTCATCACAGCTCCCCACTGAGCATACCGGGATTCCATATGTTACCTCAACTCCCCACTGATGATACTGAAACCCTGTGTGTGTTCCTAGATCTCAAGTTGTCAAAAATAAGACATAGGGTTAATAATAAAGTGATATTAAATCTGAATCCAAAGATGTAACATATTGCAGCCTAAAGTGTTACTAAACCCATGACCCTGGTCTCCCACAGTACACAGAACATGGAAATGCAATTATTTTAGTAAATATAAACTGCAGTATATAGCAGTCTTGTGACTTCTATCAGTGTCCAGCTGAGCACTGGTTAAAGCTTGTAGGAGGCGTATTCAGTCTGCTCTGACTGTCCTATGAGGCTGCATGATCCGTGACCCTTTGTCTGGACAGCGCCAACTGGCCCTGTGCTGATCACATGCACCCTCCCAAAGGAGAAAAAAAAATGCTCTAACAATACACACTAAACTGAGCATGCACAGAGTGACTCCTAGAGCTCTGTACTATCAGCAGATGGATTGGGAATAGTAGAAGAAGGGAAGGGATCAGAGAAGACAGGATCAAGCAGCCTATTTACACAATGTGGAGTATTAACCCCTTAGGTTCCACAGTGAGTATAACAAGCATGTTTTACTGCATATACAGACTGATTTTCCTGTCGTCTTATGAATGCATAGAGCAGCAGTTTGGGAGCGAGCACACAGCAGTACCCCCAGGGAAAGCAGCATTTTGTAGGGGCGCTGCTCAAGGGGGAGGAGCCAGGAGCGCCGACAGGGGACCAGAAAAGAAGTGTCAAACTACTGCACAGAGCAGTTAAGTTTGACATGTTTGTTATGTTGAAAAAAAAGCAAAGCTTTAGTATCACTTTAATCTGGCCATACATGGATCGAAATGTGGATCCATGTATGGCAACTGTGGTTGAACATAAGTTGATCTAAAGATTGCCTGCTGTTTAATCTCCTTGTTGGAAAAAAAAAACGCTCGATCAGCACTGCTGGCTGTAGACTACAGCACTGATCTGTGTATTCTGACAACAGGGAAATCTCCCACTGGACACAACAGAGAAGATTCCTCATCCACCTTCAAAAACAAAAAATTAATATACTGCAGATTGCCTTAGATGTGGTGTCTACATAAGAATCCCTTTTTCAGGCTTTATTCCCTTTAATTTGTACCTGGCGATCCAACTGGTAACATACTTCTTGTCCTCAGGTGACAATGCTCACTCAGCGCACTGTATCTATGGGGGAGTATTATTGTTGCACTAGGACCAGACTACAGAGCACCTCCCCTCCTCCAAAAACCTTCATTTCTCCTTCCGCATGGACTCCAAAGAATACCACAGAAAGATTAATTTTAGGCAAAATTATCTGATATGTGCCAAAAACAATGTTTTTGACAAACTGAAACTCTCAATTTCACTAATCCCAGGGGTCTCAGATGGTAGAAATGTAGGATGCAAGAAACGTTATATATCTTGTTTCTGCTTCACTTGTATGTGTATATTATTTTTTGGTTATCATTGCTATTTTATTGGGATGAAGGGAGGGTGGGAAGGGTGCATTTATTATTTCATAGTGAATGATATATATTAGGGAATGTTTATTTTGCATTCCATATTTCCATTTTTTCTATTATTCTCTTTGCACTCAGCAATTAAACACTGGTATTTCAAGGACAGTTATGGTGGGACCCGGCCCTCTGAAAAAAGTAAACTTGTTGTTTTCTGGCCCATATCAGTGGGAATGTGAACTCCAGGAAGGAGATTAGGTGCCTAATATTTTATCAATTATTTATTTTAGTCAGCTATGGTTATGTTATCTTTTAGTTTTATACATCTCAGATTTATTTAATTAAGTCTGTACAATAAATTTTCGACTATCCATAAAGCAGAACTCTACTTAACCACTTGCCCTCCAGAAGATTTACCCCCCCCCCCCCCTTCCTGACCAGGCCATTTTTGTGATACGGTGCTGTGTTTCTTTAACTGATAATTGCGCAGTCATGCAATGCTGCACCCAAATGAAATTTATGTCCTTTTTTCCCCACAAATAGAGCTTTTTTTTTGGTGGTATTTGATCACCTGTGCGTTTTGAATTTTTTGCGCTAAAAACAAAAAAAGGTTGACAATTTTGAAAAAAAAATAAATAAATTTTTGAAATTTTTCTTTACAACATATCCAATACAAAATTTAAAAAAATAAATTGTCTTCATAAATTTAGGCCAAAATGTATTCTGCTACATGTCTTTGCTAAAAAAAAAAAATCCCAGTAAGCGTATATTAATTGGTTTACGTGAAAGTTTTAGCATCTACATCTGGCGGTATATACTGGAATTTTTATTTTTATTTATTTTATACTAGTAATGGCAGTGAACAGCGACTCATAGCGGGCCTGCGGCAGGCATTCTGATACTGGGTGGGAACTGACTATCTGACTTTGGCATCTCCATTGACACTAATACAGTGATCTGTGCTAATAAAAAGCACTGACACTGTACTAATGACACTGGGCAGGAAGGGGTTAAACATCTGGGGCGATCAAAGGGTCAA